TGTGTAGAAGGTGGTAGTACTAAGCTCCTTTAAATCAATTAAAGCAGTGACAGATGCAGTGGAATCAGGACATTTGCACTGCTCTAAAACTAGGAAACATTCCACCTGGAATAAGCTTGTAGTTTGTAGTTGATGTGAAAAATGACTTTTCTATTTAATCTTTTTTAATATTGTTATTATTTCCTACATTAGGTGAAGAAAAAGATTTGTTTTTTTAAATATTTGAACCATTTTCTCAGGGTATTCTGTGAGCTGTTAGAGCCTAAAAACAGACTACAATTACAGAGCCGATGCTCAGGCTGTGTGTCGTACACATTAGTCATCAAGTAATCTTCTGTACTTAACAGTTACGTCATCCACATCTACAAGCAATAATGTTATATGTTTTAATCCTTTTCTCTTCTAATCTGTTAACGTCGCATTATTTGATGCCTGATGTGGGAAAGCAGCGAGATCACGTATATGTTCAGATCTCCATCGCATTAGCGCAACTCGCTGCGCTCTTAGTGAGGATGAAGTCAACAAGTGAGGAAGACTGTGAACATGAGAACCAACAACTTTCTCATTTACATTGCATTTAAGTGTAGTTTGTTTTTATGGGGTAAAAATGTCTGTTGAAAGTGTTAAAAATAATGAGGTGACGTACGTAGTACGAGTTATTCTGCAGTCTTAAAAACAAATGAGGTTTATTAGTGTTAAATCTGCATCCCAGTTATTGTAAAAAGAAAACACAAAATACATTTGGAAATAAGGATGCTGCACTTTCTTTCTGCTCTCTGAAAAAAAGACTAAAGAAAGTAGACCAAATTTAAGTCAGATCACTATTTAGAACGTTCATAACCAACAATGCTGCTCTGGTAATGCATTGTTGCATGCATTGAAAAATACAATGAAAGTCATCCTCACGTGTTCCCCATAAAAAAGGCACAGAAAACCTGTGCAAGCAGACCGAAAATATGTATTTATATATATATATATGATAATAATAATTTGTGTCCTGCACATAGATCACTTGTGTATGTTTATAATGCTCCCTAGCCACTGAACACAACAACAAAGTCAACGGCCCACTGAGAACATTAAAGTCTAGGTTGTGATTAAAAAGTCAGTAGAACTGAGTCTAGATTTTCAGAAGGTTGCTGACATCACACTGTGTTTCCAAAAGTGTGTTCTAGAGGGTCACAAACTTTACTGTCCACATGGTAATAAATATAATAATAATAATAAAATAAAAAATATCTTGCTGTCCTCACTCCACCTGAAACAGAACATGAATGTCAACTTCAGTCCTACCAGGTCTGATGAAGGTCCGACTTCAGAGTTTTTCAAACGCAGGAACCCCTGGTTTGTAAATGAAAGTACTGTTATGATTCCACATGTTGACAAGTTCACAGATTTGGCTTTAAAACTCCACTGTACATACAAAAATAAATAAATAAATAAATAAATATATATATATATATATATATATATATATATAAAAAATTCAAATGAATTTTGTTATGACCCGCTCCACCTCCCAAGTTGGGCACTGCACTGCCATGCAGCAGATCAGTGGTTAGATTTCTGCTGCTCACTAATGTATTTTTTGGGACGGAGGGGAAACAAATGCTTGGTGTGTGTATCTAGTGATTGATGAAGGTAGACGAGAGGTCAGGAAAAGCTGCTAAGCCAATTTGACCTAAATGGATTGGGAGTGACAGGATTTACCATCTTGACTGGAGGCTCATCTACTAACATTTAGTTTAAGGCATGGAGGCCATTCAAGTGATCAAGAAAATGTCGCATAACTGAAAAAATTAGACAGCAAGTCAGCAAAATCGGTGGTTAAAACAGATGCTTAGAAACACATTATGAATTTTAATTACTTTTCATCCCTATAATTAAGACAAACTTAACGATGCAGAGTCAGTAAGCTACAAGTCTGCCCATTTCATTTATGTTTCAAATAAATTACACATTATCAAGTATTTCATCACGTACATTGCCTGGGTGCTTAAAAAATCTTTAAAAAATAATAATCCAAACCTTTAATTTTTTGGTGCCAGACACATAGTATTTTGTCTCTGACTAGGGTTTGGTGTGTTTGGTTTAATGTGATTTTTTTTATTATTAAGTTTCAGTAATTCAGTAGAACTACTATTGTTCTTTTTTTCCTTTCCTCCTCCTCTTAATGCCTAATCTCTAATTCATGAAGCTTTTGTTTTTTAAACAATGTCATTAAGATTCTGCTCTTTTCTCCTGGAGTTCACAAGTTGTAAGGGTGTTGATGATTCATAAAAGAGAAATGATTAATTCAAATGGAAATAGAATAGAAATAGAAAGACTTTAATCACCATTGCACAGAAACAAGGGTGTTTCATGTACAACCAAACTGCGTTCAAAACGTTCATTAAGTGCTGTGATAAATTCATAACAGTATTATTCACCTCACCTGTCTGTGGTCATAATGCTGAGGCTGACAAGTATGTTTTGTAATGTGTTATATTCAGTGACAAGGCCGTTTTTTACTCCATGATTCTAAATAGACTATTAAAGTCTATTTTTCTTAAAAAATAAATTATCAAACATTTTTCTAAATGTGGAAAACTACCTGGGGAATTAGGAATACCACGGAAAATTAGATTTAAACACGCAATGCAAAACTGAAATTGCTGAATAAATGAGAAATGTGATTCCATCGGTATTTCCTGTTGAATTGCTTTTGTCATCTAAAAGTAAGCGCTATAGATGAATATAAATGGGTGAGAGTAATACAGCGGTTCTACATAGGATCACTGTGTAGCTACAAGTAAAGCAGCCACTGCCTCGTTCCACCTGAGTGGAAGATTGATGACTTCTGGCTTTTCTGGGAATTGCACCTGTTCCTGCTCCCCTGCCGTCTCCTCCCCATCACTCTGCACTCACTCCCTGCCATGACTTGCCTGCTTCTGCTCAGCTGCTTTATTGTTATTATTAAATGTTCATGAGGAATCATGTCGTGCTGTGCATCAATGTTTAACGCTAATAAAATGACACATTTGCTCAACATTGGATTAAAACATCCTGCTGTTCAGAGAACAGGAGAAAAAACTGGTGAAAACAATGACAGTTGAATCTTGATCTCATTGCAAACTATGTATTAAACAACAGGGGTTTTATGCAGAGGTGGATAAAGTACTAAAACATGTTATTCAGTAAAAGTATCTTTAATTTGCTTACATTCTACTCAAGTAAAAGTACGCACCCACAAAATCCACTCGAGTAAAAGTAAATACTTAATTTAAAATGTACTTTGAGTAAAAGTTACTCAGTTACTTTAAATTACTTGATGCAAAAAAAGGACAGGTAATACAGCCAATCTGCAATTGGTTTGTTTAATTAGAATGTTGATGCTGTTTAACTACCAGGTTACAACATGGGGTGCCGCCCCTTATATTTAATACTATCATAATATACATTTGTCTTTTTAACGTCACATTTAGTGCAAATTCACAAAGTTCTGCAAAGTTTGCATGGTCAATCCAGCTGTCATTATGATGGGCTATCACCATCCATCCATTGCTCATAGTCTAGGCTAAAACAACCCAGTCTGTTATACAGGAATTAAGATAATTCCATTAGAGACCAACTGCAATTAAAATCATACACTTTTATTATTATTTCTCATCGTGCTCTGGTAAAGCTAATTTTCCAAACGTGAGGCGACTTCACTGAAACGTTAGTCATAAGGATGGATGCTAAGCTAGGCAAAAATATTCGACATAGTAAAGGCACATTTTGCTTAACAGAAGACTGTTTTAACCGAAAGCAGATACTCAACTTACCGCCAAAGGACTTGGTAGGTTTGACGTTGAAGTTTCGACAGCGACGGCTCTGTCCGCCGGGGCAGGAACAGCTTGCATCGCATGATAAAGTTGTTGCCTCGTTTGCATTTGAAAACAAACAAAGATGGCCAAGGTCTTCCTCCGTTTTTTGAGTCCTCTTCTCCACGGGTGCTCTCTGCTTGGCGATCCTCAACCTCCGTTTCATGTTCGACACCGGCCATCATCCAACGAAGGCTAGGCTCTTAGTCAACGTTCTTTGGCTACGTTAAACTACACTATTCCCTCTCTATGTCACGGTTCTCCTTTCGCTCCCTCAGTACATGGCGGATTTTGTTTATATTTATTATCTCGCGAGAGTTTTGCTATATTTTAAATGTTTGGGTTTTTTTTAAAATATCCAATATTTTCATGTTAATTTCAATCATTTTTGTCATGAAAAATATTTTCTAACCTAAAAAAAATTAAACGAAACAGAAATATAGCAAAACATAAACTAAAAGACATCGCGAGTAGCTTTATTTACCTAGATATCGAATACAGCATTGAGCATGCTCTTCTTCCTCACGCTGATTGGCTCATGCATCGTAGCATCTCTCAGCATCCCCCTCCGTTCACTTTGCACTGCGCGGTTGTAAAGTTTGTGCCCTTGTGTTTACTTAAACAATTTTCCCTTTTCCCAAAATCTACTTAAGCAAAATTTAAAATAATTACAAATTGTTTACAAAAACTACTCGATTAAAGTGACGTGAGTAATTGTAATTCGTTCCTTTCCACTTCTGGTTTCATGTATGGCCAAGTTTGTTATAAATGTTTTACATAAATAATTTCTTCATGGTCAGTGAATAAGTTTACATTAAAAAATAACCACATTCACTAATTTGACCGTTTTCTGCCCCTCTAGGTTTGAAGCTAAAGAATGTTGCTATCAAGAAGATTTTAAAACATCTCTGATGGAAGACCGAGATACTCCACCAAAGTGTTCTGGGCTAACCTCACATCTGCATCTCCACCAAGGAAACCACATTTTGAGATTTTAAATTTGAACTCCTCATCACTCTGGAAATCATACTGGAAATAAAAGCCAACTTTGAATGTCTTACGTTTTCCAACCTAGAAGTATCAAACTTTTAGAATTTTTTCTTATTTTTGGTTTTCTTTTGACAAAAGCGCTCCCTGATGATCACAAGGAAATACCTGGCTCTTCTTCTCGTGGGCTTTTGTTTCCTCCTGGATGGCTGCTCCCCGAATACCCTCAGCAGAGAAATGGGTACGACGATGGAAAGCAGGGGGGCAAATAACGCCAAAGACATGAGGATGTCCACCAGGGCAAAATTAGGGGATGGACCAAGGCTCAGGAGACACTGGAGATCGAAGACTCGTCGCACAAAAAGAGGATGGGTATGGAACCAGTTCTTTGTCCTGGAGGAGTATATGGGCTCTGAACCACAGTATGTTGGAAAGGTAATTTTCTTTTTTTTTTAAAATAAAGTACTAGCAGTGTGTACTGTGTTGAACATCTCTTCGGTTTACTGTTAGCTTGTTTTTGGTTGTACTGACTGTGGCAGCAGCTCTTGACCAAGTCGCCCAGCTCTGTTGACGAGCGGCAGTGTTGTCTCAGAAAAGAAGCCCGAGACCTCCAGACCTCCAGCTGGGGCACAGAAACAGACTCACGCTGTGGAACAGTGGTGGTGAAGGCTGTGGAAGCAAGAGGGGGAAAAAACAGAATTTCTTTGAGAAAATCAAATTAACCCAGACTCCAGTCAAACCCCATCAACTTCAGATGGCGTCCAATAAAGGAACAAAGGCAAAATAACCTAATAATGAAGTGTTGAGGGGCATGTTCTATAGTCACTTGTGTGTAGATAACTGAGTTAACAGGGTTTTATTGTTTCTAATTTAATTTAATTTTTTTTCTTAAATCTTCAGAAGTAACATATATAGCAACTGTTGTCATGAGACTGGTCAATCTCCCCTTCCTTTAAAAAATATATATGTGTGTACATGTGTACAGATACACCATATATGTAGTCTCACTGCAGGGGGGGGTCTTGTCATTGTGATGTTTATCTTTAGCGAGCGAGCTTGTTCCTAATTTAGTCACGTTGTCACATATTGTGTAGCCCTTACTCGTGTTACTGACAGATTTTAAATCAGCGATACTTGGAGCCTGTTGCTAGGGTTTGTTTTTTTCTCAACTGTAATAATTGCAGGTTGACAGGATACCTGTAGTCTAATTTAAAAAAGACAGACTAATTAAAATAAATAAATAAATAAACTTTCCACATAAGCTGTGATTTTCTGTGACCCTTTGGCAACAGGTCAGCTTCTGTGGTGCACTCGCAATCAGCATCAACATCAGCAGCCCAGAGGTCAAGCACAGTCCACAATCAACAATCAACCTTGCTTCCACTCAGCTGATTTTAACACCCTAGAGTTCAGACTAGTGCCAACAAACAGGTGTGGGTGGTGCAGGACCAGGCGGTTGGTGGCACTCACCAACAGTAATTAATTATTCCACATCAGCTTTCAGAAACAACTCAGTTTCTGGAAAAAAAAAAACTGTTCACATTTTTTCCCCCCTTCTCATTAAAAGTTAATTAACCAACTTAGTTTTTAAAAAAAGTTGATATGCAAATGATAAGCAGTGCTTATAATTATATTTAACTTTGGCTGTCAAATGTCAAACAACAGTTTTGATCAGATTTATCACGTGATCGCTGTGGCTTAATCACGGTTAATCATGATTAATCGAGATGAATAAAAGTGCAGTACAGTTGCATTCACTGATGGAGAAAATGTTGAGTTATTAAGTTAACAAAATAAAACATCTGCAGGTAAACAGGGGAGCTGGATGAAAACACACTTCATGGTTTATGTGTGGTGTGTGTGTGTGTGGTCAGACTGATGCAGTACACACTGCAAGCCCCGAGAAAAATAACAGCCCTCTCATTAATTTGAATAAGGTCAGTGTGGCAGCCCAGCAGGAGTGTCTAAGCAGAGGGTTTCATCAGAAATCAAATCTGGCTCAACATATGCTGCGGTGCATTTGGCAGAGCAGCAAATTAGGCGAGGATTTGTCAACGAGCCTCCCCAACGGGTTTTATTGAATTTAAACTTTTATCAATATATAACACTGTGCTATTTTTATTGTTATTATTTAGCTGTGACTTCCATCACAAGGTTAGAGTTGATGGATCCTGCTCTGAAAGGGGGAAATTCTCCTCAACCTTCCTGACTCCTGCAACATAGATGCTTTAAATGCAGCACAGTTAACAAGCCATGTTCTGAACCGTCTCTCCTTCATGTTCCAGACGTGTGTACTTGCATGTCAAGTATGCAACAATTAATATTTTAGAGGCTGTGTGCCGGCGTTACACTGCGTTTCGTTCTTCTGACCATTGAGTCTCTTTTCTTTCTCCTGTTGTATTTCAGCCATGGTTTTATTAGCTAAGGTCGTCCTTTCAGCACCACTTGATCACAATCAGATTTTACCATTAGTTTCATTCAATATTTTGACTGTGCATGAGATTTGAAATTACTATTCCTGAACAAGCCTCAATTCTCAATTTGGACATTTGATCCCTGTGTGTCATCGGTTGTTTTTTGAAGATTTTAGAGCGTAGGAAAAGAAGTGAGAAAAATTACCAGCAGGGCAACTTCTGCAATGATTAAACATTGACTGAATTTCCTGCTGGGAAACAGCGTCTGGCTGAAATGTTGCATTAATAAATCATGTAATTGGAGTGTTGTCCTGCTGATGAGCCTCCAGGTTTCAGCCCTCTGGTGGACACACTGGAGACAACCGCTTGCTGATTCAATTTAATTTTTTAAGGTAAGAAGTTGTGATCTGATATTAAAATCTGAGAGTTTATAATATGACTTTATAGACTTAATTAGAGTGACAGTGCCGTTCCTGGTGCAACGGAATCAAACCTGGAACCTTCTGCATGTCATGATACCACTGCAACCCTCTAAACCAGGGGGTGTCAAACTCTATTTAGATATCAGCGCGGGCCGGACCAGTCCAATTATAATCGAATTAACTTTGAATAACAATACGTTGATGTTTTCCTCCTTTGTTTTCATGCAAAGAAGCACAAATATATTAGATATTTATTATTATGTATTCATATTTAATGAAATACAATTTTACAAAAAATACCCTGAACATGAAGTGTTACAAAATACATGAAGCGGGCCTGATTGAACACTGAGCTGGTTTCACACCCCTGCTCTAAAGCATGCACTGTGTAAAGTTCAACACCAACCCTTGGCTAAATGCTGACAAGCTCAATAAAAAAAAAAAAGATTGACTTTTTGGTAACAAAGCTACCGAGAAGAGGTCCCAGATTTTATTTTCCTCAAACCGGGGAGATTTGTGGTTTAATCAGGACAAGTGATACAGACAGGGACGGGTCAATGCAATCCAACTACTGTCAAATGGGTGAATGTGGTGACCGTCATGAAAGTGTTTTCATTAACAGCCCAGATTGTTGTTGCTGATATGGAGGTGTCCATTTAAGTGGTAGCAGGAAATTGGAAAGTAGACCCAAAGTGCTAGATGCCAGGAGGTCAGGAATCCATTAGTCTGACTGATTGTAGGTCTGTGAAAGTGAACACACAAAGCTGCTGGTCTGTGCTGTTTAATTACATCCCTTTGCAGGCGATTTAACAGCAAGAACAAAAAGATAACTGACCAAGCATGAATACAAGACCTACAGTCTTCATATGTTCACCATTAATCATTCTAAAACAACAGGATAAAAAGTCAAGGAGACTTTTGTTAAGTCCTCAGTGCTGATGGATATCTTTGACATTAGCAACTACTGATGTTTTGATTGTGGCTACTTTTTGAAAACTGCTTTATCTGTGTTCTGTTGTCTCCATAGCTCCACACTGACCTGGATCATGGAGACGAATCAGTGAGGTACACCCTGTCAGGAGAGGGAGCAGGGTCCATCTTTACCATCGATCAAACTACAGGAGATATCCACGCTCTAGTGGGACTGGACAGGTTTGTATAATGACCTGAGTCTAACAACTGCTGCTACTGAAAAAAAGGCTATTTTTCCCAAGTTACAGAACAAATAATATGACTATATTGTATTTGCTTTGGTAGGGCATCCAATTAGTTGATCAAAGTACGATTTAATTACACATATTGGGGTTTTTTTTCAATTATAATTATATCGCATAAGGGTGATATAAATAGAGATGTGTGTGTTATATTTGACAGAGTTAGATCTCATCTCCATTATATTTCAAATCACACACACACATCTTGGTTATAGAGATATTTCACCCCAGAGACTCGACACATGGTTTTAACATTGAACCTGTGACTTAGTAGTCAAAGATAGAAGAGGAATGAGTGAAGATGATGTTGCCATGACAACAAGATTCCATCCCAGTCTTGAGTGTCTCACAGACCATGACATTCTTGATCCCAATTTGCTTATAGACCAGTGTTCGTGTGCGATCGTTGGTAAGACCAACAAACAGGGCATTATCTACAGTTACTTATTTATTCATTTATTCACTCAAGTGTTTATGTACTGCTCTGTGTTTAACTTTAGGGAGGAGAAGTCCTTCTACACACTAAGAGCGCAGGCTGTTGACATCGAAACAGGCCTCCCCCTAGAGCCAGAGTCGGAGTTCATCATCAAGGTACAAGACATTAACGACAATGCGCCCAGATTCTCTGATGGACCGTACAGTGGCAGTGTCCCAGAGATGTCCCCAGTCGGTATGAGAAAGATCGCCGTATGAAAAACAACTAAGACGGATAGATGAATGGATGGATGGGTGGAGGTATGAGTGGGTGGATAGATGGATGGATGGATGGATGGATGGGTGGAGGTATGAGTGGGTGGAT